TTTAGGCCATTCTGAATTGAGCTCACCAGTAGTGTATCCCACTGAACTCAGGTCACTTCAGTCTGGGTAGGAAGATGTACCGGTAATTCTGAGTGCCTTTATCATTTAATCAAAAATGTATAACATCATATATGTGAACAATTTCGGTTTTAAAAGGAAGCCGTGGTGAAGTTTCATCTCCTTGAAATGTGTCAACTGTAAGCAGAGAATCAATAAGTGAACAATGGATGGGATTGAATTTCTTTGGTGTTTGTAATGACTGGCAGTTGTATCACTGGAGTTTGCAATGTAGTCATTAAAATATAGATGCTCCCTCATGGTGATGCATATTTGAAATGAATGTTACTTAATGTGGAGAAATTGGCAGTAAGCTCTTGATCAAGGTCACCTGAAAAACAATACTCGTTAGCAAGGTGAATTTACAACCAAGAGATGTTTGAAGTCCCTTATTATATTGTAGCTCCCAGTACCCAAGTTGCAAATACGTCTCACTGATGACCGCCAACAGGGACAAAAACCAGTTTCAGAGATCGCTGATTTAATTGCTAAGGTTTCGTTGCCCTCCTGGACAACATATTCAGCTCACGATTTAATATGAAGTGAAGTGACTATTTTAAAAAGGTGAATGATATATTAAAAGACGCACAGAAGTTTCAAAAACCTGAGGAGAAGAAAGATTTCAATAACAAAATAGAGAATGAATTAACCAGACGTTTGAAGAAACTAAGGGAGGAGCAGATATTTCCTGAAAGTTTATATGAAGAAATCAGATCATCGTGCACGTATACGTCAAGATTGTATGACCTACCTAAAGTGCATAAACCAGGGGTACCATTAAGACCAATACTTGATATGTAAAATTAGCCCTACCATGCTCTAGCTAGACGGTTAGGAAATATTCTCAAACCTTTGCATGAGAAGATAGTGAGATGTAGCGTCAAAGATGTATTTGAATTCGTAGACAAAATAAAAGATATTAACATCAAAGACAAAACCATGATATCTCTGGACATAACATCATTATTCACAAATATACCTCTAATAGAAACAGTCAATTACATATGTGAATAAGTGGACAAGCAGTCGGTAAACACTGGCATCTATACTGAAATCCTAAAAGAATTGATGTTAAGATCTACCATGAATGCAAACTTCAAATTTGACGGCACGATTTACAGGCAAGTGGACCTGGTGGCGATGGGCTCTCCATAGGGTCCCATTCCGGCTGATTTCTTTCTAAGTAAGCTAGAAAATGGACCTCTGAACAACCTTATCAGTAAGCTCTCGTTTTATTGCCGATACATAGATGATACTTTCATTCTTTGTGATAATAATGGTTATGATAGGAGTACAATAATTACTGAATTCAATGAAGTACATTCGGCTATGAAATTCCTATGCGAAGAGGAATCCCAAGACAGAATTGCCTTCCTGAATGTCCTACTTACAAGAAAACCAGATCGTAGCATAAAAAGAAATTTCCATAGAAAAAGTACTTGGGCAGGACAATATACACATTTTCACAGCTTCGTTCCTATCAAGTATAAAAGAAATTTAGTGAAGACCCTCAGCCACAGAGTTAGAGCTATATGCTCAGAAGAAGTAATTGAAGATGAATTAAGCATTGTATATGATACTTTGATCGAAAATAGCTATCCCGACAAATTTATCAAGAAACACATGACAAAGAAAGCGGCGGAAAAGGACTACTTACTATCTGTAAAAGAGAAACCTCTTTATATACGACTACAATTCATGGGCGATATACCAAGCGAGATAATTACGAAGAAATTAAGAAAATCAGTTCAAAGAACTTTTAATGCTGGTGAACTACACGACCGATGGTGATTCCTGAACTGAAAGACGAAGTACCTAGACTAGCCACTTCCAAATGTATCTATAAATTCAACTACGCTTGTGGAGCCAGTTATATTGTCCGTTGCCCTAGGAACTTGATTTTTAGTGCTTACTTGAGAAAATCTCCCAGCATGGCTAAGTAAGGGTGTAGCGAAAACTGTTAACAGCTCGATATTTGAACATCTGGTGCGAACCGGCCACAAAGCCAGCGGAGAAGAATCCTTCTCTATATTATGCCGGGTGCCAAATAAATTGCCAAAAACATCGAAGCACCGCAGGCTCCAAACAGTAGAGGCTATTGCGATTAGCCTCAAACAACCAGAGCTCTGTGTTCAAAAGAAGTAAGTCCAGCCCCTACTATGCCTTGACCTTCAGCAGAAACTATAAACTCATGGATTTGTACTATCATCTTTCCTAATTCTTCTGACATTCAGCTTACTATTTTATGTTGATGCGATTCAGCTTTAATCTATCAATATTATTGATTTGATGTTATTTAAACATTAATGTCGTTCATAACCCTAACTCATTCATTCACTATAATGTATATATAAATGTAAAGCCTGATGATGAATTTATCAAAAAGAGGACTCTTTGTTCAGTATCCATTCTTTTGAAAATTTTAATGGGCCTTTTTTTTAATCAGTTGAAGTGAAATTGTTTAAATTCTCCACGAATGACCATATAGTTGTATCTCTTGAAAACCACAGTCGTGATTGCCCTATTAGTTTATACTGATCATTTTGCAGTGACTTGAAATTTGAGACTTGTCATGTAATTAATTTTTATCAATTGATAAATTTGGTCTATAGTAATAGATTTAAATAAGGCATTTAGAAGACAAATTTTGAGAGATGATGTCGTCATTTCGTAGTTTCTTCACAACCACTTTACAACTAACATGGTTAACAGTAATAAAATAAAGATCATGACAATTACTCAGTTATATAAAAAAACAAAAGTACACATTAACGACCAATCATATTTAAATAGGTCACGTAGTCCATGTTAGGCGAAGATTGAAGTCTATTGTTTGTTTGTACACACAGTTTAGGCTGTATGTGATTAATCCAAAGTGCTTCCATCACTTTCACTAACTAATGTTGAATTAGACTTATGTGAAATAATTGTGAAACAGACATTAATATTAATTTTGTGATCGGACATTACTAAGTGTTTTGCAATGGATGATACTGGATTTCTATTCAGATTAATCGCATTGGGATTTTCTATATGATTTAGTAACCATTTTGAAAATAGTAACAGGTTTTTTAAACGCTGATTCATCTGGGTACTAGACTTCTACTTAGAATTCGCTAGCATTTTTGGTATTTCCGGTTTATCTATGGTTACTACATCCTTCCAACTAAATTGATGTCCGTCATTGTCTACAACTGTCTTCCATTAAGTTTTGCTACGTCGGTAGATTTCAGTTAAATTTATCGCATTCAAAACTTCTGCCATCGTCGGAGAAATGATGTCCAGTTGAATTTCTTTGGCTTGATGACGTTATTTCTGAACGAATTTCAAATGGTGGTTGGTTTGAAGGTCATTTGAAGTGACAGTTATTTCATTTCTCTTCTTTGCTAATCTGATCTTCACGTGATTTAAATAACTCACATAGTTTCAGTGTCTTGAAAAGGCAGATATTTTAAGTTTCTAGTAGATCATTTACGTACCTGGGAAGCATCGTTTCAACTACAGAAGGACGGAGCTGATTAGGACATCGAAGCAGCGAGGGTCGAGAAAGCGACAGAAGCTTTCATTACACTCAAGTTTGTGTGGAGATCAACAGCGCAACTCAACATGAAAATTAAGATCCAGATTTTCAATGCCATTGTGAAGTCAGTGCTACTATATGGATCAGAGACTTGGCGCCGCACGGCATAACGAAGGCCACTTTGAACAAACTACAGACCTTCATCAACAACTGTTTTCACTGAATACTAGTCAAGATCAGATGGCCTGCCAGAAAAGATCAGCAACAAGAAGAGATCTCTGGCAATGAGCGAACCAACCAGGAACCGATTGTGCAACAAATATGCATGAAGAAGTGGAGGTGTATTGACCGTACTCTGAGAAAACAAACCATCAGGTGACATCACACGCCAGGCCATTGCTCCAATGGAATCCGAACGGGAAGTGACAATTTGGTCGTCAATGCAAGAGTGACATGGATTAGGGATGTGAAGAGGAGATGAAAGCCATTGGGCAGAGGTGACCCAGATGAAAATTTTATCGGAGAACCGAACTCAGTGGAGAGGTGTGGCTGGAGTTCTTTGTTCCTCTAGGAAATAAAAGAAAGAATTAAAATGATAATAATAGTACATCAACTGCTTAATCAATTTATAAAAAACATTGACAGAACTTACGTTGTATATTTTTTGGTTAGTCTTATTTGGCATTTCATTTATTTATGTACATATATAAAAATCATTGTACCCTTCGATTCTGAGTCGAATATAGGGCTTCCAATAACACATATCCATTTTCATGTTTTCTAAAGCCCTCTTCAGATGGCCAAACGACTGTCCATAAGCCTTCGTCCGCTCCCCACGCGATTTCCTCCATGTCATCCTTGAGGTGAAGTCCATCTTTTCATTCATAATTCCGAATCCAATCGAGTAGTAGCCCCGTCAGTCGGTTTATAGTCGGCAAGTTCCCATAGTTTTATGCCGGTAATACTTTATGGTCATCCAGACAGCTATCTGGTCTTCATTATGGAGGCAGAGAAAACAGCTGTTGGTTAAACTGTGCAGGAGCATGTTTGGAAAGCTCCTTGAGAGTCTTCTTATCAGTCGAACATATTCCTGTCCCCTCGTTCCTCAAATCAGAAATATCATCGGTGATGTTGAACAGACATTGTCTCACTTCTGTTTTCACTTCAGAGACTTTATTGAGTTCTCCTTTGTGGATCGTTTGACATGTGGCACTGTCGTATAACTATCAAATGAGGTCGATGATGATTAGTAGCGCTTCACTCCATAGTGCTGGAGTAGTTTCCAAATCACTTTGTGATCAGAACTGTTGTAGGCGTTTCCACAGTGGCTGAAGAGGCTTAACATCTGGCAGCCAAAATCTTACTTCTTTTTAGATATTTGATGACATAACCTAATGTTTTTTTTTTCTCTTAAACATTTCAGGACCTCCAGGACCACCGGGTCAACCAGGCACACCAGGTGAAAAGGGACCACCAGGTATGTCATTTTGTAAATGAAATCATCAGGTTCCAAGGTAAATTGTGATTGTTTTAAGCGGAAATACTTCTGCTTTCGCAGCTAATACATTAACCAAAGCTCTCCGTATTAGGGTAGCCCAATGCTTACATTTTGTTTAACGAACTTCACAGAACCGTCTAAATGGTATAATTTCCTTCTAAGTGATTTTTCAGGTGTGAATGTGACTTTCATATAAGGTTAAAGAGGTCAACTCTTTGTTTTGAAGCACTGATGGTGTCTTGAATTCCCTTTTTTCTGGTGCTATTTCAGTAATATCAGTTAAAACGTTTTGTGAAACACATTAATTTATACTATCCCCTTAAAATGATTGTGATCTCAAATGTTTAGCTAAATTTAGTAAGCCGGGGTCATTGAGATTAGAGGAGCAGAAAAACGTAATGAAACCTTGACTAGTAAGATCATTCTTATATAAGAAATTTAGAAAAACCTAGTTACAGCACTGCAAGCAAACACACACAAATATACATTGAGAAAGAACTGAAATCTAGTATAACAGGATAAAGGGATAGAGTGACGATTTATCAGCACCTGCTCCAAACATGGGAAAAATTCTACCACCCCTATGAGGAATAAAGAATCAGAACAGGAACTATAGAAACCAAGTTTCGAAATTATAAAGTTTCGAATAATAGTATGATTAACAACTGTAGATTGTATCTGAAACTTTTTCCTCCAGTAAATGGTACTGTCTCTCTGTGTTGTCTATCCAACAAATGAATTAATATGAAATAAAATACTACTGTAGTGCCCAAGTTTTACACATATATTAACTTCAGTAAAATTACTACCACTAATTTCATCTTTATACGTGTTATGTAATAGTTGGTAGGGAATTGTTCACTGCATCTTAGCTTACTTAGTTTTCGTTACCTCTAGTGGGAACACCTTCATTCTTAACATTTAGGAAACACATGAACTAAGTGTGACGGATTGGATTATATGGATGACTGGGCATGTAAGCGAACAGACAAGAATACATTGGATCAATAAAAGGACCCTAGAAGATCTGGGTTTCGCTTATGAGTAATTTTTAATGCCACAAAACCTCGAAGATATACAAGAGAAAGCCAACAAGTTGACAGACAAAACAGGAAAGCCAGGATTGCGAGTGTACATGGAGAAGATGAAGGGTGATAAAAATAACCAACCAAAAAATGACGCCAACAAGCAACAATCTCTATGAACGAAAGAAATTTGAAAGAGTTCAATTCCTTCACTTGTCTAACAAGCATCGTTGTAACTTCAGGCAGTCAAAACGAATGAGGTTGTAGAAACTAGTAACAGTCATAAAGACAAGATAAACATTCTGATTTCAACACCGTTGTAAGTTAAGTCAGTCCTTCTATATGGGTCAGAGAGTTGGCGCACCTGTCACATAGAGAATTTCCAGCCGGCTGTTGAAAGTGAAGATCAAATGGCTAGCGAGAGGGAATTAGTAACAGGAAAGAAACTCTTGGAACGTAAGAATCAAGTGCGCATTTCTCAGCGGATATACAGAGGAAAATGAAAATGGGTCCAACACGCAAGTCGGGGAGACAGTTTAGGAGAGATTGTGGACCAAGCCATCGGCCGGCTGTAATGAGAATTAGAATCGATCATTTGGGTGTGGATCATAGGATAACGTGGAAGAGATCGCATGAGGAGGACCTGACAGCTTTTGGGGAATCTTGAGGCAAGCTATAGAGGACTAAGGGGGACACAACAGATTGAAAACCAAGGAAACAATAACATAAAAATCATGAGCAACCTCAAAGTTCCATTTGCACTCAGCACTGCTCAGATTACTTCTTTATATTCTGGATAGCCTTAAGTCTTGTTATGAAACCGGTTATTTTGTATTCACAATTGGTTCATTCCAATTATATCTAAGCTGACTAAACATTTTACATCTGTCAAATATTTTGGAGTTCAACATAAGCCAATTCATTATCTAATACTTTAGGAGCAACCAAAATGCCGGTTTTATTACCAATTGCAGTGTGTTCTCTTCTGTAGCTTTCCCTTCCACTCCAAAGTTCTTTTCTAAATGATACTTATTATTATCTTTGAAGGTGAAACTGGCCCACAAGGACCACCTGGTTTACGTGGATTAATTGGGTTACAAGGTCCGAAGGGTAAGTTCATTATCAGTTTTCAGCCTTTTAAAGGGTTTCTGATGTCATCATTGGAAAGATTTTACCGATAATAGCTCGAAGTATAACTTTTCATACCAAAGTTGAGTGTTTTAATACATAACTAGAGCTGAGTGATTTGTATTTGCAGTAAGTTCTGAAAATTTCAGCTGTCTGTTTAGTGATATGCATCTAAATATAAATGAAAAAGACTGATTACTGAACAGAGAATTTTTACCGATAACTTCTCCCTTCATCTCCATCTGCATTTTTATATGCATCCATAATAATCGAAGAATAAGGGTTATGAATAAGAATAATGTTGTTTAAACAACATCAAATCAAAATATCACGCAAATTAGAAGAAATTACAGTCGGCAGTATCCACCCAATGAGCTTTGAACCGACGATCTTCCCGTTATAAGGTGTTCTCGTATACAATTCAGCTGCTGGGACCCAGTTCAATGGCCATCGAGGGACAGATTTTTCCTGACAGTTAATGCGAATAAATCAGGCCAACGGGCATGTACACACCAGGACTGTATGGCCTACCTGGAGTACATAAACCGGGTTTACCATTAAAACGAATCAGTCGAGAAATATTGGCATCCCAGAGGAAATCCTAAAAGAATTGTCAGTAACTTGCACGATAGATGTAAATTTCAAAGTTGATAGCACACTTTACACAGAGCTGAACGAAGTGGCAATGAGCTCCTCACAGGATCCGATGTTTTCAGATTTTTTTCTCAGTAAACTAGAAAATGGACTTTTGAACAACCTGATCAGAAAAATATCATTTTATTACCGATATATGGATGACAGCTTTATTCTTTGTGATAATTATTCGGATAGGAAGACAATAATAACTCACTTCAATGAAGTACCTTCTTTGAAGAGGTACCCCAAAATGAAATAGCTTTCATAGGAAAAGTACATGGACGAAATAATGTACACATTCTCATAGCCTTGCTTCTCTCCAGTAATAAGAAATTTTGATAAATCACACAGTGTTCTACAGTAATATTAACTGATGATGTTTCCAGCACAAATGATTGCTCATAAAGTCACTAACACAACCCAAGTTTTATACCTATAGCAAAAAGAAATTTATTAAGGACACTCAGCCACAGTGTCAGAGCTATGTGCTCAAAAGATGTAAGTGAAGATTAACTTAGCTTTATATATGACACCCTAACTGGAAATAGCTGTCCAGACAAATTCATCAGGGGACATATGACAAGAAAAGTAGGAAAAATTATTCATTCTCCGTAAACAAGAAGCTTTAATACACACGACTGTGTTTCAAGGGCGATATATATTTAGTGAAATAATTACCAAGAAGTTATGAAAATCAGTCCAAAGAACTTTTAATGCTGGCAGTGTACAAGTCTTATTCATTACACGAACGGCTGTGATTCCTCGATTGAGAGATGAAGTACCTAGACCAGCCACCTCCAAATGTATCTACTAATTAAACAGCGCTTGTGGTGGAGCGAGTTATTATTGGCTATTTTTCTAGCAACTCGATTTTTTGTGCTAACTCAGAAACATCTACCAGTGTGATTAAATAAAAGTTTAGCTAGAAACATCAATAGTTCGATATTGGACTACTTGATCCAAAGCCATCAATTGAGTATCCCTTAACATCATCTACTGGCTAGTAAATAAATTGCTAAAAGTATCTGGATACCAAAGACCCCAAACAGTAGAAGCAATTGTAATGCACCTTAAGCAACCTGTTGTCTGTCTGTGAAAGAGGCAAGTGCAACCAGTACTGCTACCAAGGCCGAGCTTCACTGGTGACTACAAATTCATGAATTCTGAATCATTATTATTTTCATAATTTGTCCGGTATTCAGTTTGTAATGTTATACTGATGTATATTATCGTGCTTACAGATGCTATTGAACTGTGATCTATTCATAGTAAAGATTGATAAGATGTTATATAAACAGCATTATTGTTGTTAAAATAACCCTAATTCTTTCATAATTACGGATAGATATATAACTGTATATGATGATGCTGATGAAGGGAAAGCTACCGGAGAGAACATTCTTTGTTCAATTATCAATACTTTGAAATTTCTAATGGCCATTTTCTAACAATAATATATTTATTAAAAATACATTTGATTTCAAAGAACAACGAGGATTAAAAGTCAATCTGAACGAAGAACATTCTTTTCAATAATTTCCCATAAGCACCTTACAATTACAAAATATAAGATATAATGTTTATTGTCGATTAAATAATGGCCAGTAATGTGGCAGATACATTTTTTAACGTGGAATAACAGATTAGTTATGAGGTGTCAAAATAAATAGTTATTAGGTGCAAAAATCCCCGTATTGAAATCAAAAGAAGATTTTGAGCGAACAACTGTTTTCGGTAACTTCCTCATTGAGGCTCTACAGTCATAAATCCATGAATAATAAGAGTACATATAGCCAATAAAGGCTAATGAAAATAATATCAGAAACTGTATTGGGGTGCATGTGTAAGTTGAGGTGATAATCCATTAGTTAACATAGTCAATCAAATGTGTATAGGGTGTATAGTCAGTCAGGAAAAATGTGATGAAGTGTGAATGAAAAATTGGGTGGTATATATCGTGGTTTTATAGTCAACAGAACACAAGTATCATTGAGGTGAGAGAAATGCGATAACCACAAAATACATACAAACACACATTAACAAAAGGGACACTGAATATGGGAGCTGATCGACAGTGTCAAATGATAAAATAAAGAGGCTAAATTGTAAATTGTAATAAAATACTACAAAATTGGTAGGCTTAGTATAAAATCATGAAGGTTGACAACAATTAAGGGTGATAATGAGGTGAAATAAACTGGGTGGAGAAATGGATTATAAAGACATGATATCACAAAATGATAATAATGATAATAATAGTACGAAAAATTATGATCCTGGTGACCTCATAGAGTGGGCCAGGGTAGACAAAGAGAGTGAATAAGTTTTTCTGTACACATAGGTTTGGTATCTCTCGATTAATCTCTAAAGCCTCAGCTATGGCTAGGAGGCGTAATCGTGTGCCTTTAGGGAGATTGCACGGTTCTCGATACATATCCGTAAATTACTCATCTTCTTTGGCGCTGTTTTCGCTATCCACTAGATGAGACAGAATTACACTATTTGATGATTTGGTTGCTCTTTTCTTAAGCCAAACAGGAATATGATCACGAGTGCGTAGAGATAAATTCCTTTGGGTACGACCTATATAACTAGCTACACAGGAGCGGTTGAATTTATATACACACATTGATGTCGCCATTTTGGGCAATCTATCTTTAATGCACAGTGTCAATATCGGTTTGGTTGAGAAACTGACATGCAGTTTTGCGGCATTAAAAGTTCTTTCAACTGATCTCGTTAATCTACGGTTTATTAAATATCGCTTGCTATATCGCCTTTGAATTGTACATTTAAGTAAAGCTTTTTCTTACTTACTGTGTCTCGCTTGATTTTAGGTGTAGTTTCGTAGATACACTTCTTTACAAAGGTGGTAGGGTAGTCATTTTGTAGCGAGGCGTTTGTAAGATTTCTTATTTCATCTTCAATGCAATCCTCGGTACATATGCGTCTAATTCTATGACTAAGGCAACGAATTAGGTTGTGCTTATATTGCATAGGTATAAAGCTGTGGAAGTGGGTGTATTGTCCGTTCCACGTCGCTTTCCAATAGATGTTTCTCTTTAAAGCACATCTGTTCTTTTTGTAAGAAGAACATCCAGAAATGGAATACTACCTTGGAGTTCCTCTTCACAATGAAGAGGAGGAGATAGTAAGACTGCAATGAGAGGTTCATAATGAAATAACGAATTTGTGAAATGAAACAGGTGGAGGCATGCATATATTGAGAAAAGAGATAATATCACTAATAATAATAATAAGCCTGGGTAGCATAAATGAAAAATTCGGTGGTTTTGAGAGAATGTTTGCATGAAGGGCATAAGTCATTGCATTATGGATAGGATTTTATTGTGATAAATCGCACAGTGTTGTACAGTAATATTAACTGATGACGTTTCAAGCACAAACTATTGGTCATAATCATACCAAGTTACTCACACAACTTTTTTTCCTTCATTTATATACATTCTAACAAGTAACTTATTAAGACTACAAAAAACACTCGTCTTATTTCCTATCTGATTGTAATTGATCAATAGCACTCGTATTATTACTTCTGAATGGACATTATCTCACAGTGAATTTTAATCCAATATCTAATTGATTCCACACATGTATATAAATAAAGAAAAACAGTTGTGTGAGTCACTTGATACGATTATGAGCAATAGTTTGTGCTCGAAACGTAATCAGTTAATATTACTGTACAACACTGTATGCTTTATCAAAATAGAATCTTATCCATAATGGAGTTATGCTCAAGTTTTATACTTGTACCAATAGGGCATAAATTATGACGATTAATATCAATATTCGTAATGACAAGCAAAGAAAAAAACCAAGAGGGTTAAGGGGGAGAAACACTTTTGGTGAGAAGGGTATTTATCAATCCAAGTTTGGCCACGGTAGAAACAGCGTCTGGACGTGTTCTTTTTGGATACAAAGTTCCGGTTTAGTCAATCTAATTGCAACAGCTATGCGTTGGAGACGTAAGCGAACTGTACGTGATAACGACTTCGGAATTCGGTATATAACCCTGAAAGCTGTGTTGACGTCGATGCGATATCCAGTATCGACCAAGAGTGACAGGATCGAGCTTTTTATGCACTTATGCATCAAAACTATTATAACCCATTATCACTATTGCCCCCATTTTAGAATATTTTGTAATCGATTTCAGCCCAGCTCTTTTTGTCACACAAAAACGACTATTTATTTATTTTGACACCCCATAACTAATCTGTTATTCCACGTTAAAAAATGTATCTGCCACATTACTGGCCATTATTTTACCGACAATAAACATTATATCTTATATACAATTGGTGGATGGTGGCTAGCAGTGG